GTCTCTCTTTGGGGGGTGTGAGCGCTCTGGGGGGCGGCGCGCGGGGGGCCGCCTTGCGGGCGGCCGCGGGGAGCGCGGCGGGCGGGCGGGCGGGCGCCGGCGGGCGGGAGGAGGGGCCGCGCTGAGTCGCAGTCCCTGCCCGGCCGCCGCGCTGCGCACCGCCGGGTGCCGGCCTGCGCCCCGAACCCGAGTGGTGGCCACCTCTACCTCCCAAGCCCGCGCGGATGTGAGATCCTGGGCATTGGGCGCCTCGCGATCGCCGGCTGCGGCGCGGCTCTGCTTGGGCCGGGAGGTGACGGCTCGACTGGCTGTGCGGCTTGTGGATTTTTAAAAAATTTGGCTCCGGGGAGGACCATTTCCTCTCGACATGCATCCCTCTGGATAGACTGCACATCCCTCAGTCCACCCTCCGCCCCGCGCCGTCCGAGGCAGGCGCTGGGTGGGCGAAGAGGATCCGGGTTGAAATCTGTGCCCCCGGTTCTCGTCCCCGCCCCGTCCCGCTGCCCCCTCCCCCTCCGGGAGTCGAAATTGCCCGGGGATTATGTTTCGGAAAGGTAGGTGAGCGCCGGGCGCGGCGCCTGCTTCTCCGCACACGGACCCAAAGAACCAGCGAGGCGGCGAGGCAGCCCCCGCGGCTTGCAGCGGAGGCGACAGCTCGTCTCCTCCCGTGGAGGTGTCGCTGGTGGTGGTGGGGTGAGACTTGCTCCAAAAACGGACGTCTCCAGCTCTCCCCCCTCCCTGTTTTCCGTTAGGAATCCGGCGAGGAAATACATGCACTCGCTGAGAATCGCCGGCGCCAGGACGCAGCGCCACAAGGTGTAGCAAGTGAGTGGGGTGGGGCAAGAGGGGACCCAGGAGTCCCCCAGGCTCCCGGCGCGCCTGCTCCTGCTCTTCAATCCTGCCCTCGGGGCGGACGGTGTGACCCCCGCCCCGACCATGGTAGTGTTCAATGGCCTTCTTAAGATCAAAATCTGCGAGGCCGTGAGCTTGAAGCCCACAGCCTGGTCGCTGCGCCATGCGGTGGGACCCCGGCCACAGACGTTCCTTCTGGACCCCTACATTGCCCTTAACGTGGACGACTCTCGCATCGGCCAAACAGCCACCAAGCAGAAGACCAACAGTCCGGCCTGGCACGATGAGTTCGTCACTGATGTGTGCAATGGGCGCAAGATCGAGCTGGCTGTCTTTCACGATGCTCCTATCGGCTACGACGACTTCGTGGCCAACTGCACCATCCAGTTCGAGGAGCTGCTGCAGAATGGGAGCCGTCACTTCGAGGACTGGGTGAGTCGTGCCCCTCCGCGTCCGGGAGTCCGGGATCCCAGGGAAAGATTTGCTGCCTAAGCTTTGGTCCTGGAGCCTTGAACTATCTGTTTTGTGTGTGTATATATGCCTCAATTTTCTTGAAGAGGCACATTTTATTTCATAGCAGGAGAGCCATACACAGTAGGATAAGAAAGATGAGATTTGACAGATGGGCACTATCCCTTGTCCCCTCTGTGCCCTCTCAACAGTGGGCGATACAGAGGGCTTGCAAGTTGGGAGAGAACCCGGAATGCAGGTGCATAGGTTGGTGAAGGGAATCTGCAAGTGCGTGGTGGGCTGGCTGAATGACTATGTGTGGGTGGGTCTCTCTGTCCTTGGAGAGACACGTGGAGCTCAGACTGAAGGGTTTTTGTGCCTCCTGGCTTTATCCTGGGTAGCCTAGTGAGTAGCTTTATAAATCCTTCTGGTAGGAAGCCTCCTCTTCCTAAATCACTGTTTAGCTCATTTGCTGACATACCAGGAGGTGTTCACCCCCAGGTGTCCCCTCTAGAGTGCCAGAAACAACTCCAGCTTGTTTTGCTCATCTATTTAGGATGCTGTGTTTTTGAATGGGTTCTCTTCGTGGTGATAGGGAGTCGGGACTTAAGACTATATGCTTCCAAGCTTCGATTGTCAAGCTATTGTCGGATCCAACACTATTTCTGAAATTGAGTCAACTATTAACTGATTCTACTGTCACATACGAGGGATTTTGCAGTAGGCCCTGCCAGTATCCCTTACACCAAATGCATTAACCTTGGCACTTGGACAGTCAGAGAACCCCCACCACCTCTCTTGTAGGAACAAGAATAGCTCTGTCTTCAGGTTTGTTACATGTTTCTATCTGGAGCAAGCGTTGCTATGGGTTAATATATTTTCAAGATTCTTTGGTCTGCACAGAGAGCTGTGTGCTGCCTCATGAAGAGTTGTGGGAGGACCATTCTGCTGACAGCCGACAACTTCATGAATATCTTGGGGTCAGAGGGTATGCATGCCCTTGGCATATCACTTTACTTCATATTTTAAAACATATTTTTCTAGGACATGGAGTTTTTAGGGGGGAAATGGGGTGGGGGAACCTGCTCTTTTTATGCTCCTGGCTGTGGTAGAGTCTTCTAGAAACCATGGTTACTAAAGAGGCTTTTGGGGCAGACCTTGTAAGCCACAGCACAGCTCTAGGAGATCTGTGGCTTCCACTTTAGACAGCAGGCAAACTTTTGGATCCTGACCTCAGCCTCCCTTCCCTCCCACCCACTATCCTTTTACACTGTTCACCGTGATGTCCAAAGGGTCACACAGGGTTAACCAACTTCACAAACAGACTTCAGTGCTAAACATCTGTGGTTTTGTATAAAAAGGGCAAGAAAATATTGAGTAGAGTATCAGGAAGATGGGGCCTGTTGCAGGAGGGTCTAAGAGGGGATTAGCGGTGGGTAGGAAGCAGAGAAGATGAACAGCTTTTCCACATCCATGCACCAGTTGGAAGGATGCATCTGAGTTTCTCTGGCAACACTGAACTGGGGGCTCCTCCAAATTCAGAGCAGAACAGGATGCTACTCTCTCCTCAGCTCTTCTAAGGAAGTGTGCAGTCAGAACTCGTTGCTTGATAGCCATTCTCCACGGTTCTTACATTTATGCTGGATTTGGCTCCAAACCAGATCTTCTAGCACACAGGCAACATTTCCAGACAAGGACATTGAGTTCTAGAGGAGCTAAGTGGATACCCAAGGTCGCATGGCAAGCACAGGTGGGTTGGAGGTTGAGCCCTCACCTCCTATGGCTCACTGTTTGCCCAGTGGGGAACAGTCTGTCTGATCTCCCAGGCTATTTATTAGCCGTGCAGATTCATATGCTGTGGCCCTGACATTTTTATTGTGTGCGATAACATAAAGTGCTTTCAAAATCATTATCTCTTCTGCCTTATAGCAAGTGTGAATTGGATATGACAGGCATTGGACAGATTAAAAACAAGACTGAGAGAAGCCCAAAGAGTGACTCAAATGGTGGAGCTGGTTCTGACTGAGGAATGCTGTGGCTGCTCTCTGAAATGAACATGGGGACCCCAGCAACACAGCTGGAAATGGAGACAAGTTGCAAAAGGGCAACCTTCCTCATGTCTGTCACCCAAGTCACACACAGCGGCACAGCTTTAGATAGAATTTCCTGCTCTCAAACCCATGTGCTCTCTTCTTGGAAGAAATGAAGAGACATACTCTTTTGTAGGTATGGCTCTGAAGCCCAGCCTGAGGTGAGGAGAGCATAAAGCAGCTTCTCCTATCTTTACTGTGGAATACCTCGGCTGGCTCTGAACTCATCCGTCTGCTGCGTTCCCCTTATGCGGTCAAATTCTACCAAGCTAACCATTTTAACTAATCTAGGGATAAAAAAGAGGCCACAGGTTACTCTAAAGGGCCTTCCATTTCCCTAGGGAAAGGATTGTAGCATATATGTGTGTGTGTGTGTGTATTCACATATATATTCATATACACATATGTATATACACATATATTAATATTCATACACACACATATATATACATGAACACACATATACATATATATGTTTATGCATGTACATACAAACACACACACATACACACACACTCAAACACATATATACATTTATGCATGTACATACATACACATGGGAACACACACACACACACACACACACACACACACACACGATACTTAAGTGATAATTTGGTCCCAAAGGAGTGATACTTCAAGTAGATTGGAAATTCAAAACCAAGGTGTTCTAGGAGAGCTGGGAGAATCCAGGAAGGCACTGGGAAAAGACATGCATTTGAGTGTAAGCATGTAGGTAATGTTCAGAGATATCTACCAGAGGACACAACGTGCTGAGCTTGGACCGCCCTAGAAGAGAAGCGCAGAGAGTGCCTGTGTTCAGAGCTTCGGAATGGATAGGCATGACTGAGCTGACGGTAAGGCTGAACAAAGTTTCCCCAACTTAAGACTTCATTTGAGTACTACCTGACCTATAATTTAGTAGTAAAAACAAACAAACAAACAAACAAATAAACGAACAAGAAACTGTTTCTTTTACTCTTTACTGGCCTTTTCTCAAGCCTCACTTTGTAAGAATCATAGGTTTAGATTTGGTGGCTGTAGGTTTTTTTGTTCACATTCAACTAAATATGGATGTGAAATATAAAGAAAGGTAGCTCAGGAGGGATGTGGGGCTGAACCCTGAAACTCCAGAAAAATGTTTTTAGAAGACCGAGGTGGATTTTAGAGTGTGCAAAGGCCAGGCTGAGGGAACTGTCTTCCTGACAGTGGAAAGAGAGACATTTCAGGTTCTGATGACAAAGGGGACCGTAGACAGAGCTCAAGGCAAATGGAAGGATTTGAGCTAGGCTTTTGAGAAACCAGATGGATGAGTTAGATGTGCATTGGCTCGCTAGGGGAAGGTGCTAGGACCATAGCCTCTTGGCCCTGTCCCCCTCAGAGCTGTGGATTCTGGAGTTTGGGATAATTGAGAGGAATCTGCATTTTTTAGTGGTCTGTCCTTGAGATTTGGGCCTCATTAACCTTGCTTTGAGAAATACAACCTTGCTTTGAGCTACAATAGTAATTGTGACCAGAAGAGGGGCTCTGGATTCTGTGAGGGCTAGAGCTTGATGCTACAATGTCTCTCTTTATTGATGGCTGCCTTACCTTTTCTTCACTTACTTATTTTTATTACTTAGCATGTGCACTTATGTGCACTCCTGTGCACTCCTGTGCACGCCTGTGCATGTGCATGTGTGTGTGTTTATGGATATATATATATATATGTATATATATACATATATATATATATATATATATATATATATATATATATGGAGCCCTGAGGACAACTTTCAGGAGGTGTTTTTTTCCCCTCCACTCTGGGTTCCAGGGGTTCGAACTTAGAGTCAGTTTAGCAGCAGGCATCTTTTCCAGTGTAGCCATCTGCTTGGTCCTCTGCTTTATTTTTTGAGAAAGTTTCCTCACTAAACTGGAAGCTTGTTTACACTGGTTTAGCTAGCCAGCAAAACTATCTTGGAAGAGAACTATACTATGTTGGAAGACATCTTCGGTTTGTACCACTCCCTTGACATAGCTTGTCACAGATGTATGTATGTATGTATGTATGTATGTATGTATGTATTATGCATTTAATTTGTTTATTCTGGTTCTCCACGACACACTTTCTATTTGTAACACTGGCTGTCCTGCCACTCTGACCAAAACCAACTTGGAGAGGAAAGGGTTTATTTCGTTTTATAGCCCATCAGGAGGAGAGCCAAGGTAGGAACTGCAGGTGGGAACTGAAACAGAGACCACGAAGGAACACTGGTTACTGCATTGCTTCTTCTGGCTCAGAAGCCACCTACCCAGAGGTGACACCACTCAGTGAGCTGGACCCTCCTGTTTCAGTTAGCATTCATAAAAATACACCACAGATATGCCACAGGCCAATTCGATGGAGAGGAGGCTCCTTCTTCCCAGGTCTGTCAGATTGACAACTGAAACTCACTATGACAGCTGCTACGGGTGCATGCTTGGACCAGACAGCTTGGGTTTGAAGGCCACCCTGCCCCATCTAATTCTTCCTTGACCTTTGGTGGACCATTTAACCTTTCTGAAATTTCATTTCTTCTTCTATAAAAGGATGATGGTAAAATCATCTGTCTTAAATGGTTGTTGCCGGGAATTGAGTTTATGTATGCAGTGCACTTGGACCGATGATGGCCCTTAGTGTCAGTTCAAAGAATGTTTAATAGTTGTCCCATTGAACCCCCCAGTACTGGAAAGCATAGGCCACTAGACTGACTCTGCCTTGGTCAACAAAAATCACTTAGGCAATGTTCTTACAGCATCAATGCCAGGATGTAACCACTAGCATGATGTCATGGGTGGATCCTGGGACATGGCTCTGTTAAACAGGCCTCCTCCTGAGCCTCCTCCCTCCTGATGGGGTCTTTGTACATT